ATTTTTTCATTTGATGCATTTGTAGATCAATCAATTGCGATCTCAAGGGTCACTTGAAGTTAATGATGAATTATGGTCATTAGCAAATGATCCTGATGTTTTGGTGAAAATGTATTTGGGTTGCATATCCAACGGCACTCGATTCCACACTAAAGATCGTTACACCCGTTGTAAAACTCAAAATAGTGGAATAATTGTTGAAGGGGATCATGAGAATGTAACAATGAACTTCTACGGTTATTTAAGTAAAGTATGGAAAATGAGTTATATCTTTGGGCATCGTGTTGTTTTGTTTCAATTTGAATGGTCAATCTTAGTAGTGGAAAAACGGTGAATGTTGATTCACATTTCACAAGAATTGATGTTAGAAGTCGATGGTATAAAAATGATCCCTTTGTCCTACCAAATCAAGTGCAACAAGTCTTCTATGTTAATTATACCAAGTATGGACCACACTGGCGAGTCGTACAACGAGTCCAACATCGAGGCATATGGGATATACCAGAGTGACATGCAGTAGATGTCGGTGATGATGAACATTCTATTCCAAATGATGCATTCCAACAAGAAGAACCCACTGAGGATGTCCCTATTATTGTTGAAAATCATGATACGCACCCATTCTGTAGGACCGAACTTGATCCCGTGCTTGTCTCGAGCAGACGGGTAATGTCGTCTGAAAACATACAAGATAAAGATGTCGATGATGATTTCATCTATGATGATGATGATAATGATGATGAGACATTACTAGAGTATAGTGATTCTGAATGAGATATAGAAAGTCATTCTGAGTCAGATGTTGATTCCGAAATATAAAGATAGTTTAACCAAATTTTCTTCGTAATGGTGTGCTGTTTTGTTTTGTTATAGCTGTTGTATTTCTAATTGATTATTTGCATAATGACTCATGTATCATAATTCTTTAGGAAACATAAATAGCTCTAGGTCGTCGACCTAAAGTCTTATCTATACCTACAACTGCACATGAGGAGGTGCAATCCCCATCACCGACATCGACCACCTGTAGTACACATACTGTAGCTAGCAGTACAGGTATGATTTCATTTATATTAGACATTTTTAAAGTATTTTTCTGTATTCATCTATTATATTTTGGTAATTTCAGGGTCGACCTCAAGAAATGGGCGAGGTCCTACACGAGGAAAGGCTGTAGAGAAGATGGTGGAGGCAAATGCGAAACTGCATGTTGAGATCCCAAATGGTGTGAATGTCCCAGTCGGAAAAAATGCACAACGTTGCATTAATGAGATGTGAGCCTTGGCTAGAGCTTTCGTCCCAATTACTGTGACCCTATGGAATGATTTTTCTGATGACATGCGTGTCCCTATCATTGCACGCCTTCAGTTAATTATACTTATTTTATTATATTCGTTATAAATATAATTATTTTTGTTCAAAATAATGTACTATTTTTGCGTACAGACAAGGTTTGACATTGTCGGATGCGATGAGTCAGAACGTGTTCAGGAAAACATTGAAGCTAAGTTTGTTCGTTTGTATAGTGACCATCGTTTTAAGATGCACAGTCACTATAAACAATTGGTGAAGGTTGGCCTGGACCCAAAAACTATGCCCTACAAACAAATTAGTAAGGATGATTGAAATTATATAATCGAGCACGTATTCAAAGATCTAGAATTTCAGGTAAAAACTTGATATTTTATCACTAATGTTGCTGGTTTTTATTTACAATAGGATATTGTCCCTACACTAACCTATGTTAAATTTTTTATGTAGAAACGATCTAAAATAAATTCTGCAAATCGTGTCAAGCTACCTTACAATCATGTTATGGGTTCCAAGTCTTTTCCATCTGCAATGCATGTTATGGTTAAGTGTTTTAACTTATACTTTTTTTGTATGTTATCTTAATTAAGGTGTTGTAACTATACAATTTTTTAAAGTAGAAAGATCCCGATACCCAGGAGCCACTTCATTTTGTAGATTTCTTTCGTGAATCTCACTTTAGCAAAAAGTCAAACAAATGGATATCACAAGAAGCTGAGTCTCGATACGTAAGTATAAAAATTTTCTTAATGTTATTGTATTTGAGATTTATAAGGTTGATAAGTTTCGTTTTGTAAACAATTTATTAATTATTTTTTAAATTTTAGAACCAGATGAAGGAATTAAGATACAAGTCCACACAAGATGGTGAATCACACATCTCTGAGGAGGAGATTGCAAACACCGTACTTAGCTGCAAGTCTTGCTATAAGAGATGTTATGGGGTTGGACCAAAACTTTCTTCAAAAAAGAAGTCTAAGACTATGGCAAATGAAGATGAGGTGACGAGTCTGAAGTTAGAGCTAGATGAAACCAAGAAAAAACTTCAACAAATGGAGAAGTGGCAAGAAATGATGATGCAACAAATGATAGAGGTGAGATTAACAGTGTAGTGTGGTGGGGGCATTGGAGAGCCGAGCAATTCAACTTTATCTTGGTAAGTTATTTTTGGCTATTATCATATACTTAGTCAAACATTAAATTATTAACCTATAAATTCAAAATTTATATATTTTTTCTTTTACTTCTTATTTATAATGCCTTAATAAGTTTTTTGTGTTTGTCACAGATTGAAGATGGATTATAAAGAGTTTTTTTTGGATACCCATACATCTTTTCTTTCAAATATTTGAGATATTTTGTTGTTGAGATTTTAGATGTTGGGATGTTGGATGTTGAAAATTTTGGAAATTGTTAGCAGTTTTGGATATTGAAAATTGTTGGATGTTATTTTATATTTTGAGTAATATATTAATGTTTTAGTAATTATGATAAGTGGACGCATGCATAATATTTTTGAGTTGTTATAAGTGTTTTTAAATTGTTATAGGGCCAAATGGGATTCAATTATGTTCATTTTTTGGGCGACGAAAACATGTCGTCACAAAAACATTATTCATCATTTTTGGCAACGAAAAAAATTCCTTGTTAAAATGTTGGTTGATTTTTTTGGCGATAAATATGTTTGTCGCCAATATGTTGTGTACTTATTTTTAGCAACGAAATAGAGATGGTCGCTAAAGTTTTTACATTTTGCGACGAATATAATCATTGCTAAAGATTTTATATGGTTAATATAATTTATTTTTTGGCAACAAAATAAGAACATGTTTGGCGACAAATCATGGTCGCCTATTATGTATTTTTGGCAACGAAATTTTTCTCATCATTGAAAACTTTCTCAGACGAACCTAAAGCGACAAAATGGCGACGAAATAAGTTCGTCGTAGAAAATTTTTGGCGACGAAATTTATACATTTTGCAACGAGTCAATTTGTCGTTAAAAAACAAATTTGTTGTAGTGTGTGGTTATATGGTGTATTATGATGATTGTTATGTATGATTGTAAGTTTTATATACATGTTTAGATATTATTAGATTTTTATTTTTAGAGAAAACTCTATTCAAATTTTTGGAAATTAGTAGGGACTAGCTTAATGTTTTGATGGATAGATGTGTTGATGGTTGGGTATGTATTGATTATAGTGGTGGTGTGGTGAATTATGATGATTGTTATGTATGATTGTAAATTTTGTAGACATGTTTAGAGAAAATTTTACTGAAATTTCTGGAAAATAGTATGAACTCTCTTAATTTCAAATTGAAATGTTGTTTTAGGTTGTAAAGAGTTTTTAGATAATGTAATATTCTTCGAGTTTTATTTAATTTTATGTTATATAGTGCTTTCAAACACGGACAATTACTAGTGTGTATATATATATAATTAATTTAATATTCGAATAGTATAATAGTGTAACAAAACAATATAATAAACTATTTACACAAAAAATTATATTATTACATTTTGTCAAATATATAGTTTCATATAATTTCATTAAAAATGACTCATCTCTGTTTTGAATTTGTTATCATATGCACAAAACTACTGAATACCGTTTTTGTTATAATGTATTATTATAGTGTATTTGTTACATTTTTTGTTACATTATTATTGAGTTTGGATATTAACAAATTTTAAAATTCAAACAAGTGATATATTCTAAAATAAAAGAAATATTAAAATTCTCCTATAAAACTAATAGTAGTAAATATTTAATGCATAAATATAATTTGAAAGTAAAACCACTTTTCAAAAAAAAAAAAAAACGCATGAATCAAGATGCATCAAAGATAATTTAAAATTTAGATAAGAGATTTAACAATAAGTATATATATATATCGCATGAATCAAGGTGTATTAAATATAATTTGATAATAAAATCACTTTCTAAAAAAATTTCACATGAACCAAGGGAGGACATATAAATATGGAATATTAAAGTTCACCCATAAAATTAGGAGATGTTTAATGCACTATTTTTCAAAGAAAATACATATGGATCAATAGAGGACAAAAATGTCACAAAAAAATCAGTAAAATTCAAATAATGTACTTACATACAAATAAACATCAAAATTAAGGATTTAATTACTCAATATTTTTTTTTATATTTTTTTAAACTAAGTCTAATTTGGTATACCCCATTTCAATTTTCCCATATTTTAAACCCTACAACAAGGGCTTATAAAAATATAAGTCCAATCAAAAAAAAATTTTAAGGCCTCACTTCGAGGAAGGCCAATAATTTATAGGTGTAAAGTAATACTCCAAACAAAAATTTTAAATCCATGCCTAAACAAAATATTTTAAATTAAATAGATTGGGTCTATTAATTCAGCCGAAAAATTAAAAGGTCCTAAAATTATTTTTTTAAATAAAAAAAAAAAACTAACCTTAAAACTAAAACTATTAAAAAATTTAGTTTTAACCTCTGAAAAAGTCAAGTTTAAACTTACTGTCGTAATTTTTCAATTATTCTATCTCTCTTACTATTAAGTTTAAATACGGTAACAAAAATTTGAATATAAAAATTTAATTAATATTTTTGTATTTAAAAAAAAAATTAAATTTATTATTAATATTAAAAATAAACACAACGTCATTTATCGATTCCGTTTTAAGCCCCAAAATGTCTCGAGTCACATCTGGGCCGTATCACCATTTTCGCCCTGAGCTCTACCAGATGGAGAGGCACAAGCTAACTGCAGTAAAAAAGTTCTAACGCCGATACATATGTAACAGTTGGATCTTCATGACGATACATTAGCATGGATATGGGCAATTGATGCTTTGTTCCTGCACTATCATTTGCATACTTGCAACCACACTGTTGATTCTGCAGGTATAAATGTAGCGGGACATATGTAACACTAAGGACACATTATACATTATTACAACTTTTGGTCATGTTTTCAAAAGCTTTAAAACGTATTGTACAATAAAATATACAAATCTTAAGCTCATATACCAATCTACTTACATTTCTCTAATTGACTGTAGGATTAAGTCATCACGGTCCACCCTTTTAACTTGAAATATCATTGATTCGGGCCATATCCAATTCAACTGATCATGTGGGTTTTCATGGGATGACAGTTGATGGCTATACCTTAGCATGGATATCGGCACTTTGATGCCTTGTTCTTTCATCTTCATTTCCGTACTGACAACCATATACTGGATTCTCTGCAGGTATGAAATTGACAGATGATATATTCATGCTGGCGAACCAAATTCCTCTTGTTGTGTTAGAAGAAATCCAGAAAGCTATCCAATTCCAATCCTCTTGTGCTAATAATAAAGAAGGGGAAATAACTAGGTCTGGGGTTGATGACAGTGTCGAAAAATGGACAGTTTCTAATGATGCCAATGTCATTTGTAAGTTTTGTAAAGCATTCTCCCCACTTAAATTGTTAGATCACGTGCTATGTCCGCCTGACCCCAAACCTGTGCATCTACTAGAGTATTTGTACTGTTTAACTGTAAACTATCTGAACTCTATGGTAGAGATAGATTTTAAGACTCGGACTGATCATTCACAGAACTTAGGAAAGGGCCTGGAAACAGTTCAAAAACTTATCAAGTCCATAAAGGTAGTGCCATTGGAGATGATTCTTTCTGTATTCGGAAAAATCGAAAACCAAAATTCACTGGACGAGATTGAAATTCCTTGGGCGTCGACCCTTCAAAAAATTGGTGGAGTGACGTTTGCCGTCACGGAATGGGGTATCAGGGACATCAAATTTAACAAGGAAACACGCACTTTGTACCTCCCTGAAATCACTCTGAATGATAATTCAGAAGTTATATTAAGAATATAAGCTTGGGCCATGACAGGTTTGATCCTCGAGCTTCCAGAATACGTTGATTTGATGTGTGGGATTATAGATACTGTAGAGGACGTGAAGATCCTCCATGACAAGAAAACCGTCATCAAAGACAATCTATCTCATGATCAAATTACTAATATTTTTAACAGGATAAAAAAATCAACTGGCATTGATAAGAAATCTGGACTGGAGAAAGCGGTTGACGAAGTTTACAAACATTATGGAAGTCGGCTAGGGGTGAAGGCATGGAGATCTATCAAGAAATGTCGGAATTCGTCATGGAATTTTGTCCAAGCCTCGTGAAGGTTCTGTCCTTTTTTGCCATTGCCCCCATACTGCTAATGATTTTGCAATCTTTTGGCGAGATCTACGATTGTAGCTCACGTTGGTTTGGGAAAAGCATAGCACAAAATCTTGGTTTTTTGCATATGCGACGTCTTTTGATATGTGATATTAGTAAGGTTTTTAATACGTAATCCTAAATAATCCTCAACCATAGATTTCGGTTGAATGTTATTTGTGGCCGTTAGGCATCAATGTTATAGAATGACGTGAAGCAATATGAATATGATAAGATGATTTGCTATGTGCCATTCCTTGATCGGGTAAGGGTACTTACCCCTATCAAAATGAAGTCAAAGCTTGCCCAACCTAGCGATAAATGGGGGTGCTAGGCACTCATGTTTGTCTTACTAGTGAGACATGATCTTTTTCTTTTCGCTCTTTCTGTTAGCCAGTTTTAGTAACGAACAATTTTTTATTGACTTTCGAGTTATCTAGTTTTGAAATTGATCAATTCACAATTCTGAGTATTGAACAGAGCTAGAGCAAAAACAAGGGAGATCAGATCAATTCGTTGGTTCAAAAAGATAATTTTTTTTTTGTTGGGGGGGGGGGTTGCACGTAGGTTTCTTCTTCTTCTTCTTTTCTTGTTTAGTTCTTCTAACCTCCAGGTGCAATAAAGAGAGCTATGCCTGCCAGGGTCCTCACTCTGTAATAGTAGACAAAGATAACATGTAGAATTGTTAAAAAGAAGTTTGAAATTTTAGGGTTTTTGTTCGTACAGGATAATAAATTGGGGATTACTAGGTATTTTTTGTTACTGCTTTAACCATTAAAATTGAAGTAAATTATTTTGTGACTCAAATATGTTAAATTATGACTCAATATGATCATATATAATCAATATGCAAAAATTAAAATCGATTTTGGTCAATCTAAAAAATTTTAATTTTATGAATTCGTAATGTTGACCTATTTGAATTATAACTTGAATCAATGGAGTTGATTTGAACTAAATGTAGCACACGTGTATGACGATTGTTCCACATTGTATAGTTTAAATTATGTAATTAAAAAAAATAAATTACTATGTTCAATATAAAGTTTACACAATCAATACTTAATTTTTACTTTATAGATTGTCTTGGGTACAAATTATTGCTATATATATGATAGTGATGGTACTCGAAATCTATTTATCCAATTACAGAACCGTGATGTGGTGAGGCCCAGGACGAACTTTGTGTGTGTTTGTGGATGGAGATGTGTTCAGTGTATGAAAAGTGATGAAGGCAATAATGTGAGTGGTTTACCTCAATCGAAAGACTAAGACTATGTCTATTATAATGGAGACTCTTACTCCTTAAGGGTTTATTGTTTAAAGAAGTAGGTGGCGGTTACAGAAGACTTAGATGGGAGTCTTTTACAAAGTATTTCTTATGTTGACTATGGTGATCTCTTTATGGTAACTTTGTCTCCTATTTATACCCTTGATCCCATAGTTTTTACAATTCTTCCTTTTTTGACTGATTTGGTGGTCTCCTCTTCATTTGTCCTGTAATTGGCCTATCAACATGACTTTTTTGCACCCACTATCCATGAAATGGAATATATGTGATATCCCCTCCTCCACCAAAGAATATTTGTTCGTTAGAATTGTCAGGTCAAATCCGCTTGGTATCGAGCTCATATTCCCGAGCAAATGATTGTCATCGAGCTCGTTGTAGGCTGATCTGGACACTAGTCTAGGCTAAATGACCCTAGGCTTTTCATGGAGCGGGGCTGTGGTCCAGCTCGAATATGGAAGATATTGTCTAGAAGAGCCGCTTGGTTTGTCTTTGATGAGCCCTTTAGAGGCTTTGAGCTCGAGAAGGAGCTCAGATTTAAATCCATCATCATAAGATAATATGCCACTACTTAAATCATTAAATGTTGTTAGTTAACTCTTTGCTCATGTTGAAAATATATTACTTTGATATATCAGCATAAGATGCAACCAAGTCAATAAGGTAGCAATACACAATAAATATCCATCATTTCACATTGATGATTGACTTCATCAATGGTAAAGAGTCAAGGTATTTAACAAGGTTTTTATGCAATTAGGTCAGACATAAGATGTATGCAATTACGCTAAAGTACCAAAAATATTCACAAAATGATCAAAGATCAAACAATTGCAAGTAACGACAAGAAAAAAATTGTCCAAACATAGCGTTGCTTTTGACGAAAGATACAGAGAAAGAAGACCATCAAGACAAGTTCTATAGCTATTTGCGATAAATAAGTTCAAGAAGCCTGCTTTTAACATGACCCCAATTTTATTTGTTGTTTGTCATGCATCCTGTTTCATTCCTATATTGTCACCTCCTCACTTTTTAAAAATGACTCAAAGACGACTAAGGTTACACAAAATTCAAAGAATCTGTACCATTTAATTGTTAAAATAGGTTTTAGAATAACATCATAATAATAAGGTTAGATTACATCACTATTCTAAACTAAAACGACGGTTCTACTAGTTTTCAAAAGTATTTACAAATGGTGGGGTAAGTTATTTTATAAAAATGGTGTTAGTGTGACATGTGAGGTGTCCTAATGAAATAATAAAATAAAGAATTAAGTGGACAACATAATAATAATGGCCGGTAGGATTTTCAATGCCAAAAAAAAAATGAAAGAATGAAAAAGTTAAAAGTTTAAATGATGGATAAAATATTAGGTTTTGATAAATAAGAAAAATGCAAAGAATAGAAAGGTGGAAGGATTCGTCTTTCTTTTAACTCACAAAAATTTATCTTTTTAAATTTGAGAGAAAAAGTGAAAGAAAATTAATTATGACTCTTGAAATACATGATATTTATCTTTATATATATGAATGTATCTTATTTTTGTCGATAACATATTATGTACAAATTAATTTCATACATAGATATAACGATAAAATATGTATGTATATTTTTTCCTTTATTCTATTTTTCCATCCAACAAAACAGAAAAGAAAAAAAAATCAATCATTATCATTTTCTATCCCTCCTACCAAATATAAGTGAGAAAGAAAGGTGTATCCATCGAAGGATAAAAAATATATTATTCTTATTTTTTATCATTCTACTTTTTTATCCACTCTATCAAACACACTATTACTATGCAGCATGATTGTAGATTAGTTGTTGGGTTATGAGTAATTGCAACAAAATAAGATTTGAATCGTAATATTTGTCCGCCCCACATTTTTTGACACGATGCAAAATCTTTCAATTATAAATACATCAAAGATACAAGTTTGTAGGCAAGAGCAAAGAAGAGCAGTGTTTGCAGGTAAGTGTGCCCCAATTGCCCTTAAAGAACCACCAATCTCTCTCTCTCTCTCTCTCTCTCTTGTTTCATCTCTCCTCATTTGGCTACCATTTTCATTCAAAGAATCTTTCGTCACCTTTTTTCATATTTACTTCAGCCCATTCATTCCTCAACATCCCAATCCCTCTCTCTCTCTCTCTCTCTCCTTCATTTGGCTATCATTTTCATTCAAAGAATCTTTCTTCACCAAACCCTTGGGGTGGTTCAGGGATTAAGCTTGTCTTCTGTAACTTAGAGGTCTTAATTTCTTTTCACATCCCTTAGGAGCTGGCTACGGTGGCTAGCCGTTAAATTTAATAGAGTAATTGACACAAATTTAAACACTTTGTAACCGGAAAAAAAACACAATCTTTCTTCACCATTTTTCATATTTACTTGAGCCCATTCGTTCCTCAACATCTACGTGGCTAAGACTTTGTATCTAAATATTAGACTTAAGACTCTGGAGGATCTCCTTTAAATATCTTTTAGAAGTTTTTATATGATTTTTTTGAGTCATTTATAATTTTTGGATCTGCAATACATCTTAAAATTTTGTGATTGATTTTAATATTTTTAAGATATACCTTTTTTTTTTGTTTGTAATTAAATATGAGGTAACTTTCAGCACGTATGAGGTAAAATTTAATAGAATTCAACGACGAGTATGCAAAGAAACCAAATTCAATGAATAAGTTTGAAACAAATTACTGTAACACTACTAAGGTTATGGTTTCGAAGTAGGTTTGAGTTCAACTGTTTATGACCAGATAAGCTTTTTGGTTGTTACTTTTGCCTTTTGCTTAATTGTATGAGTTTGAAAGCGAAACTTCATGTTTTTTGAACACACACTAGACACAACCTCTTAAAAGAGGAAGTGCCCAGTGAGATATTTAAATAACACACACACCCAAAGGCGAAACTTCATGTTTACATAAATGAAACATAGTTCAATTCCCACTTTTTTTAAAAAAATATTTGGAGAACGCAAAACCTGACTAAACAAAGTTTTCTTTTATTTTTGAATATTTGAGAACATAAAACTGTTTTACAAACACTATCCAAACAGACCATAGATCCTAGTTATGCACTGGTAGTCTAGTCTGGTCTGGTCTGCTCCTGTCTGGTGTGGTCATTTTATGCCTGATTAGTCTTAGAATTTGTGACTGCAGAGGAGTTGGATTATGGCGTCTGAGTCCTCCTCCAACAATGCCGAAATTACTTCCATTTTCAGCTCAAGCTCCGGCGAGCACCGATGGGTCATTCAAATGGCGAAGAACTTCGAGATAATTGACATTGACATAACACCTTGCATCTCTCGAGTACCCGAAACTTTACGAGCCGAGAAGTCGGAAGCTTATGCCCCGAAGCGAACAGGCCTCGGACCATATCACCATTTTCTGCCCGACCTCTATGATCTTATGGAAAGGAAGAAGCTAACTATAATAAAAAGTGCTGTAAAACAGGACAAGAATGGCAAATTCCCACAAACCATGATCAATAAACTGAAGAAGCTTGAGCCCAAACTCCGGCCATGCTATGACAAGCTCTTGGATCTTGATGGCGAAACATTAGCATGGATATGGGCAATTGATGGTTTGTACTTGCATCAAAACTTAGGTAAGAATTTTTTGGAACAGGACATATTTATGTTGGAGAACCAAATTCCTTTTCTTCTGTTAGAAGAAATCGAGGATCATATCAGCCAATACAAATTGTCAGACAAAGTAGTACGTGATTTCTGTGAGGTACACTCACCGTTAAAATGGACACAAAAGCAGGGGCATCGTCACGATAAACAACACGAACCTGCTCATCTGCTGGATTGTATGTACCATTTAGTTGTAACCGACGGGCACATCAGGCTGAAAGTGGGAAGCAAGGCTCGAATGACAGGAGGAGGGCTTGAAAGCACTGCAACTTCTATTTTAGAAGAACTTCAGAAACTTGCCGATCTCATAAAACAACTGCATTTGGATAAGATTTGTGCTCCATTGTTCAAAAAACCTAATACAGCACTCGAGATCGAAATTCCTTTTGTGTCAAGCCTTCAAAAAATTGGAGTGAAATTCGCCATCGCGGAAGGGGGTATTAGTATTGAAAAACTTAAGAACAGAGTGCAGAAAGCTAAGGAGAGAAAAGATGAAGAAGAGAATCATACTCATTCCATATATTTTGCTGTACATACATCTATATTTATACTAGCTACAAGTGTACACCAAAATTATTCATCTAAATTTTTTACACATGAGGGAAATTTTCCTAACTAACTACGAGCTGCCATGTGCCTCAAGAATCTTCTAGTGAGCTGTGCTAGATCCTTCTATTGTGTTCTATGCTGAGCTGGATGGTGATCAGTGGAATCATCAGCTGAGCTGGTGGAATCTGATGAGCTAGCTTCATTCTCTGCAATTTTCAACAATTAGTGCCATCAAATTCGTCGACAAAACACACTCTTTAAAACTCCCAGTAATCACTCTGAAAGAAAATTCACAAGTTATATTAAGAAACTTGTTGGCTTATGAAACTTTGTCCATGCCAGTGCCAGCTGGGTCTACCGACTCTACCAGTAACCGTAAGCTTGCAGAATACATCGAAGGCAATCTTTCTCATTATCAAAATTGCAGATATTTTCAACAGGATAACAAAATCCACTGATAAACAATCTGAACTTGTTGGAAAAGTTAACAGGCATTACGATAGTATGCTAATAGTGAAGGTCTGGAGATTCGTCAAGAAATGTTTGGATTCGTCCTGGAATTTTGTCCAAGCGTCACGGAAGGTCTTGTGCTTCTTTTATTCCCTCATTCTAATCGCAGTGCTGATCTTGCAAGCCTTCTGCGACATCTATGGCTGCAGTAAGGGACAGAGCCAAAATTTTATCTTCAGAGAGGCCGAGTAGTGGTGTAGTGGAAAAATTTTATTCAACAGAAGGATTCGATGACCACAAAGTGCAAAATTAAGCTTGGGTTTGCAATGTTGATGTTTGTGTTGTGTTATGCAGTATTTGATGTTTTCCTTGTGAGGTTTTTTTTTCTCTCTTTCTTTTTTTTTTTTTTTGTTACCTCCTGAACTTCGTGTACAACGTAGTAGTGCAATAAAAGACAGCCAGCCTACCTCAATGATCTGGCTTTATAATTTTGTTTTTCATTTTCATCCCATGGTCTATCTGTTATACGATAAAGCAACTTGAGTTTCGTTTATAATAGGCTTAATTTTGACTTGTTAACTTTATACTCAATTCAAATTGAATGATAAAATAAATTTAATTCTATTTTCATGTTCGATTTGTAAACCAGACAAATTCAACCATGTGGCTCTGGACTCAACTCAAACAATTTCATTAATAATTTTAATTTTGTTATTAAATAAATTTTGCTCGAATTATGAACAACCTCAATCTTATCTTCAATGTTGTAAAACTCGCTCAATCAAAACCCTGTCATGAAAAAAAAACATGCAAATTATTGCTTTCTATTTTTAGCGAAGGACATAATCTCTTTTCCTACTTCACACATAAAATAGATTTGAACTCTGGTTTACAACTGATCATATCGTGAATGAATTGGACTTGTGGATTCAAATTTATATTCAATTAATCAAATACAAGTTTATATTTTTGATTGACAATCTTGTTTGAATTCCTATTTATATAAAGTAGCTTACAATTCAAATTTCAAAAATAAACAAAATGATTTTTGTTATTTGCGGTTGAGATTGTTTTAAATTTTACTTTAAAGTTAATCTAACGGCTAATATTAAAACTCCAAATTTAATAGGAAAAAACAGGTCTATAAGGGTGTATTTGGAGTAATTTGTTAAAAGTGTTTTTAAGAATTATTTATCATAAGTACTTTAAAAGAAAATTATTGTTTTAAACCGCTCCATCACTATCTCTACCATCACCACGACCGCCATCGCCCCCACGACCGCCATCGCGACCACCATCGTCGTCGTCACCACAACCGTCATCGTCATCGCCGCCACCACTACCGTCACCATAACTATTATTATCTCCTACCACCACCACTGTCGTCTATTATCTCTCACCCCCACTATAAATCGATGTTTAAATTCATTTATTTCTTCTCTATGTTTGAGATTTAATTTTGAATATGAATATAAATATATTTTTTATTTTTTATTTTTTATTACTCTGTACCTTCAGGTACAAGCAATAACTAGTACTATTATAAAATATCAACATTCTTGAAAAACTTTGTTTTCTTTTAATACCCTTCAACAATGATATTAGGACATTTTAATACATGAACCTAAATGAGTTATTATTCAAACAGCTACTTCATTATATTGAACGATTGAATAGGATTCTTTAAATAGGACCTTTCACCCTTCCAAGACCCCCAATAGAAATAGAGAGACATCCATTATGTTATTTTAACTCAAAAGTTGAATAGCTCATAGTCTTAATAATCTCGGTGATTAAAAACATCTTTTGGTGCATCACAAACCACACTCCCCTTGAAAATTTAGATTTTGGATCCCTCATTATGCGACTCTACCAAAAGAGCTGTGGGTGCATAAAAAAATATGTATGGTTTGATATTTGAATTGCAACTGTGATATTTTTGGCTGATGAATGGTGATTAGGTAAGTGAGACGAATATGCAGCCGGCCACGAAGATTATGAGGAGAAATTGACATTGGCAACAGGCAATATAAGCATTTCAATAAGGTCGAACTGAATTTCATTTCAAGCAGAAAAAATTATTGATCATTAATTTTTGAATTTTCTTATTGCACTGTCATTGTGGTACAAGTTGTTTAGATTGGTTGGCCATTGGGTGATTTTCGTCTCGGTTACATTTGTGATTGTTTAGGATTTAGAAGGGATTGAGAGGAGAGGTAAAGATTTGACACTTTGGAATTGCACTATTATGGCTACTTTGTGGTGGGTCATGTAGAACGAGCAAAATGCAAGATTATTTTGAGTTTCGATTACAAGAGATTTCAAGGGAAACCCATTCTTTACAATTTTGGCTGGATGATATGCTTTATAAGATGTTCTTTGTACTTCCTGTTTTGATTTATGTCTTTTGTTGTGATATCTTAGCGAATAATTTTCTGATATAAGCTTTATTTTTTTATATTTAAAGAAAAAAAGAATTAATTTTCTTGACACTGTGTGTATGTCTGCACTCTTTATTTGCATTTGGTGTATATTGTGATGGTTTACTAAGGTATTATGCTTTGTTTTGCATGAAAATTAACAGATTGTAAAAGTAGTGGATGAGTTTGTCTTGTAGAATTGTTAAAGGCTCGTTTGATAAGATAGGCTAAATTACATCATAATAATAGCGTTAGATTACATCATAATAATAGGGTTTGATTACATCATAATAATACGGGATGTCTACACAATTCTAAACTAAAGTATTTACACACGTGGGTAATTTATTTTATATAAACTATGTTAGTGTTACTTTTGAGGTCTCCTAAGGAAATAATAAAATAAAGAATTAGGTGGACAAAGGTTCATCAATTTTTGAATATTACATGGTGGCAATATAATAACACTTAATAATGGCCGGCAGGATTTTTCAATGCAGATGATGAAAAAGTAGAAAAACGTATTATGTATAAATTAATTTCATATACAATTACAATGATAAAATATGCATATATATTTTTTCATTCTATTTTTCCATCCAACAAAACAAAAAAAGAAAAAAAAATTAATCATTCTCATTTTCTATCCCTCCTATTAAGCACAAGCGGGAAAGAATGATTTATTTTTTAAAAGGTGAAACAAATATTACTTTTCTTTTTTATCATTTCATTTTTTCATCCCCTCTATCAAGCACACTATTACTATGCAACATGATTGTAGATTGGTTGTTAGGTTATGATTGATTGCAACCAGATAAGATTAAGATTGGAATCGTAATACTTGTTGGACCCACATTTTTTGACAGCAAGCAAAATCTTTCAATTATAAATACCTCAAAGATACAAGTTTGTAGGCAAGAGCAAAGAAGAGCTGTGTTTGCAGGTAAATGTGCCCCAATTACTCTTTTTTGCTCTTCAAGAACCAACAAACTTTCTTAATTTTTCTCTCTTGTTTCATCTCTTCCTAATTTGGCTACCATTTTCATTCTGAAATCCTTTCTTTACCAATTTTTTATATTTACATAAGTCATTCGTTCCCTAACATTAAGTTCATATCCAAATATTGGACTTAAAAACTATGGAAAATAGGCCGGTACTATACAATATATACAAATTTTAATAGTTTTTGTACAATTTTTATCATTCACAACTTCTAGGATTTTTGTAATTCAACCTAAAAATTTGTGATCGATCCTAATATTTTAGGATAAGTTTTAATATTTAAAGATGGATCCCTGACTCAAAAGTTGTCACTAGGTGGTAAGCTTTTGGGTTTTTATTTTTGCCTTTTGCTTACTTGTGAATTTGCAAATGAACCTTAATGTTTAGACAGAGAATTTTCAGGGAAAATTTAGACCTGGTTGTGCTGTGTTATGGGCATTTTATGTCTGATTAGTCTTTGAAACTGTGATTGCAGAGAAGTATAGTTGAGTTGAGTCATGGCGTCTGTCTCCTCCAATGATACGGAAATTACTTCCATGTTCAGTTCAAGCTTGGGCGAGCACCGATGGGTCCATCAAATGGAGAAGAAGTTCGAAAAAGAGCTCAAGATTGACATCAAATGTGATTTACCTTGCATCTCTCGAGTGCCCCAAACCTTACGAGCCGAGAAGCCGGAAGCTTATGCCCCGAAGCGAATAGGCCTCGGCCCATATCACCATTTTCGGCCCGAGCTCTATGATCATATGGAGATGGAGAAGCTAAGTGCCGTGAAAAAAGTTGTAACAGCGGACCGGATCGCTCAATTTCGGCAACTCATTGTGGGTAAACTGGTGGAGCTTGAGCCCAGCGCCCGGGCGTGCTACGGCGACTACTTGGATCTTGAAGGCCATACATTAGCATGGATATGGGCAATTGATGGTTTGTTCTTGCATCATCATCTAGGTGTTCAAGTTCCAGTAGATTGTGCATTTAAGAGTGTTTTGGCACAGGACATATTTATGCTGGAGAACCAAATTCCTATTCTTCTGTTTGAGGAAATCGATGGAGTAATCGACCAATTCCAATTGTCAGACAAAGTAGTACGTGATTTCTGTGTGGCACACTCACCCTTAAAATGGACAAACAAGCCTGGGCCAGATTGTGTTGAACGCACACCTGCGCATCTTCTGGATTGTTTGTACCATTTAGTTGTAAACGACGGGAACATCCGTCTGAAGGTGGGAAAAAAAAAGAAGGAGAAACGAAACCAGCTCGAGGACGCTCGAATGGAAGCAGCAGAATGTTATCCAAGGGAAGCAGCAGAATTTTATTCAACGGAAGCAGAAGAAGTTCAAATGGCAGCAGCAGAAGTTGCAGGCACTACGATTTCTGATTTACAAAACATGAGTAAGCCTATTATCGATTTCTTAAAACAAAAGCGTACAACTTCTGTTGCACAAAACACTAAGGCTATTATCGATCTCATAAAACAACTGCAATTGGATAAGAATTGTTTTCCATTATTCCAAAGTCATAATACAGCAGTCGAGATGGAAATTCCTTCGGTGTCAAGCCTTCAAAAAAATGCTGGAGTGAAGTTTGCCATCGCAAAAGAGGGTATTAGGGGCATCAAATTCTACGAGGAAACACGCACTTTGAACCTCCCTGAAATTACTCTGAAAGATAATTCAGAAGTTATATTAAGAAACTTGGTGGCTTATGAAGCTTTGGTCTTGCCAGCTGGGTCTAAGCGTGAGCTTGCAGAATACATTGATTTGATGTGTGGAATTATAGATACAGCAGAGGACGTGAAGATCCTCCAGGAGCAGAAAATCATCGTCATCAAAGACA